AGTAGTAGTCTCTCAGTTTGCTAACGAATTTATGCAAGTTCCTCAGGTCAGCTCTGCTTGTAAAAGAGAAGATACTGTGAAGTTCTTTTTTGAGATTAATTGGGTTCTCTGGGAGGTCTGGCCTTTGTACAAAGAAAAAGGGTGGAAGTAAATTGAAGTTATAGTATATTCCAAGGCACTCTGCCACTTCTTTAATAAATTTTGATAAGGTAATAGAAATGGCTTTAAGTAGTTTAATCTATACATGTTGCTGAAATTCATAGATTTTTGATGCAATTAATTGAGTCACTATTAAAACATATAAATAATTGAGTCATGATGCAATTATTTTTGAGGATTTTGAGAATTGAGTCAATAGCAAAATAATTTACGCCACATGTATAGTTTAATCTTAATTGAGGTCAGAATATCACTAGGTAACTCAAGAAAATTAGACAGTTTCATTTTGATATATTCTTTACACTTGTTGTATAGTTCTTGATAGTCTATTTTAATAAGTGTAGGATCAAAAAAAAAGTTGAAGCCATACTCCAAGAGTTGAGCGACTTGCTAGAATTTTAGTTTTGTAAGATCTGTTGATTTAAGATAGGCTGTGAAAAGTACTTTATTGATAATTATGTGAATTTTTTTCTTAGTGGTTCTGATAATATATCTAATATTATTTGCTTTAAGATAGTTTGCTTTGAACTTATTTTCAATTTTTTCGTATTCACGTTGATGTTGTCCTTTGATTAATTTACTTTTTGTGAAAGTTCTGAAGAAGTCTTTGTCTCTATGACCAATTTTTGAGAAGATGGCCTTAAATAACGATCTGGAGGAACCTTTAGAGTTGTCCCTGAATTTAATAAAAAGTTTGAATATATCTTCTGGGGTTCTGGGGCAAACAATTATCTTTTTGCAATACATAAGAATCTGGTTTGTTCATTTTCTGAGGTGTTGCTATAAATGTTACTGTTGGATTGGCTAATGGTTGTGATTGATAGTGTGCTTCAATTTTATCAACCCAGGAGAAGAGGTTAGTTATGAATTGCAAGTGTGGCTTGACTTCTATAGAGAGATTATCAATTTTCATTTTGGTGGTGTTTTGTATATTACTCGAGTTAGTGTTATTTTCATGTAAGAATGCAGGGGTGCATGCATTACTTGTTTCAGATTCATATGGATTGTGTGCTGAATTATTGTTAATAAATGGTACAGGTTCAGGGATTAATGCAAAGATTGTTATAGGAGAAGAATCAGGCTGCATATTATTGTTTTCAATTATTTTTTCTATGGATGCAGGTGTATTTGATGGGGGTAAGGACATTCTGGTTTTTCTTTCAAGAGTAAAAGTTTTATTTTCTTCAAAAGTATTAATGTTAAGTTTCTTTCAAGGAATATACAAGCCATAGTTGAGGTCATGCTTCATAACCTCTCTCATGATATCTGTTCTGTTATTGTCTGTTAGTTTAAAGATGTATTGAAATTCCATAAAAGAATTTAGGTCTTCCAGGGGCATTGGTTCTGGCAGAATTATAGTAACAAGTGTAAGTATAGATAATATTCTAGTTCTTTTTATTCCTCAAAGGTAACGCTAATGATGTTAGCACTTTCTAATTTACTTTATAAAGGGCAGACAGGTGTTATCTATACTTTTGAGCAGTTTCTCAGCCTGGAAAGGCGAATTTATTGAGCAGGATTGGAGGCAGAAATTTTGTTTATTTTAGTGTTTCTATAGATAATAATGGCTTGAGAGCTTTTAATGTTAGTAACAAGTATATTGAAAAGAACATATTCATAGTTAACTATTTGACTTTTGAAGAGAAAGGATTTCCCAAGGTCTTTTGTTTTTTTTTTTTATAAAAAAATTTTGGATTTTTTAATTTAGTAATTTTTTATAATATGAGTGTGTTTGGGAAAGAGTTTTTTTATAGTAAGTGAGTTTTATATTGAAATTTTACAAAATTATTTATTAAAAATAAAAAGAATATTTAGTTGTTAATAAAGAACAATTCAAAATATACTAATTATATTATAAACAAATTTATAGAAAAAAAACTTTTCTATAACATTCACAATACAATATCAATAGCTACTGGCCTCATCCTACTATCAATAATAATACCAAACCAAAAACCTATCTTTTAAAAATATACAAATCTTTAACAAACTTCTTGAACTATTATATAACAATATATGGAAACCCAGAAATGATGACATAATTTTCCAAGAAAAAATTCTTAGAATTACTTCATAACAAAAAAAATCAACAAAATCGATCACACCTATCTCAAAAAAATTATTCACCAATATAATAACAACAACAAATCAAACCAACAACTCCAAGTCTCAATTCAATATACTTTTTCCAAATATTTTTCAATTGTATCTCACTAATTAAAAATTTATTATCATCAGATCTGAATAAAAAATTAAATTATTAGAAAAACACTAACCCTTAATTCGGTAAATAGTTATTTCTAAAATTTTGCCAAATTATGGTTTTTATAAAATATATTGATATATAGGCAAGTTGATATTTATAGTAATATATCTCAATGTATCACTATTGTTGTAAATTTTATACTAAGTTTTTTTTTGTAAAAATTGAATCAACAATTAATAAAGATTATAATTTAAGAAGTGCCTTGCAAAAAAAAAAAAAAAAATATGTAAGATTATGAACTAACTAATTAATAGTTCAAACTCTAATCTATTAAAAAACTTATAAAATATTATTAAATATAATATAAAAAGAAAAATGTTCAAAAATATCAATAATTTACAAGAGTATTTAAGTAATAAAAAAAATAAAATTATATATAATACATTAATTAATATAATTAAATCTATATTTAATTGATATCAAGCAATAATCAAGAACAATAGTAAATAAATTAATTATTAAATATATATATATTTATAATAAAATATGGTTAATAGGTTTTAAATAAAATAAAATATACCAATTAGAAATAAATAATAACAAAGTTAAATAATAAAAAAAAATTCAATTATTTTTTTAATACTTTGTATTTTTTAATAATTTTACTTTTTATAATTTTAGCTTTAATAGTATTATTGAAATCTCCTATATTTGTATTTTTAAAAGTTATTATATTTGGTATTGCAATATATAATTATATTATAATAATTATTAGATAGCATTTAATTAATATATTGTAACTATATATTAAAATATAAATAAATATTTAGTTTTTATCATATTTTAATTATTTATTAGTAAATTATTTTATAAATATAAAGCTTATACTGATAAATTTAAAATTAACCAATAATTAAATAATTAAATATTAATATTAAAGTATTGCATAATGATATACAGTATATTTTGTTTTTTTATATTTTATAACTTGAAATAATATAGTTATATTAAAATTATAAGAAAGCTTTATTACTATTGCATTGTTATAACTCTTTTTTATTACAAATAAGCATAAAATGTAAGATGTTATTTGAATAATAAGATTGTTACAACTTTTGTTTTAATCAATAAATAGATATTTTATAAATATTTTTGAGAATATACTTGTATTTCTTTTTTTAATTGTTAAGCAACTTTTCATCAGCAATAATATTTTTCTTATTTATTATTTTAAATTGACTTGGTTTTATAAGTTATTTTGATTTTAAGTAAGCTGATTAATATGATTTTATAAAGTAATATTTTGTCATTTATATTTGTCAACATCTTGCTATTGTATTATTTGAATATTTCAATTATCATATTAGAAAAATCATCACTTTGATCAAGAATAAGAATGTATGTATATGTTAGGATATAAACATAGAATTATACTAATCAATATATCTGAGATTTTCAAACCCTCCAATCTTGAGATATATCATTTTGAAGCAATAAGAGGGCATCATCTTTTCACACGTAACTCTTAAAATTTAACCTTTGATAATTTTCATTGAAACATTCAATGCGATGCCATAGTATAGGAGCACTGCAATGATATCAAAGTGATTGATGAATAAAGCAAGATAGAGAGATTAGTTAATTGCTAAAAAATATAAGATCAGTTCTAATAATTCTGGTATATTAAAAATATTTAATTGTGACATTCTCAAATTGTGTATTATATACAGTATCTTTAATTGAAAAATATCTAATATTCCGATAATTAGTTCATGATAATAATTTTAGACACCGTTGTAATTTTTTTTCTTTGGGAAAAATAATCGACACAAGGAATTCTTCACGTGCACGTGATTTTAATTGAATGTAGAGTCTGTGATTTTATTTATTGCAATGGTGAATTTCCAATTTGTGTACAGTATAAGATATGAATGTATTAAGCACATGCTTCGATCACAGGTAATACAATAATCCAAGTTGTGTTTTATACGCCAATTAAAACCTACTTAAGATCGGATGTACAGTATATGATTGACAGAATTTTGAATGATTAATCATCTTTGTGTGTTTTTCCAAATATAGTATCCGGGTATAATATAAAATTATGGTTAGTAAACTCATTTAATATGGCTGATTCTACGACAAAAATGGTATGTACAATTTTTTGATCATTATTTTTTGAACAATACTTATACAATATAAATTTTAGGAGTACAATTTATAAAGTCAGAAAAATCCCTGTCTGCCTTCAAAAAGAATTACCAATAGAAAATATCCGTTTAAAATTGTTACACTTGTTGGATGACTATACGTCGCGACACTTTATAAGGCAAAAGTCTAGTACGTTTCGTGACCTGCATATACGTAACCTTGCTATATAAAATTTTGATATCAAATAGTCAAGTTGACATAGTGTTTCTTAAAAATTTGTTTCGGCGACTAATAAAAATAATTTCGGTGCTTAACAAAAATACTATGGAAAAAAAAACAGATTTGACATTTCGACTATTGATATGGCCTTGCACCGAATCCGATATAAAGCTCCCACTTTTTTTGAAAAAACGCTTTTCGATATGATAAAAAGGGCTTCCTTTTTTTCTTTTTTATCATTCTTCTTTGAAAGACGTTCTTCAATATGAATAAGAAGTTTCTCCTTTTTCTTTTTCTCATTTGTCGAGTTAGCGCCTGGACCACTGTCACATTAACATATAGGATTTGTGACAAAGATTATAACGAAACTGTCAACTTCGAAACTACATATATAGCATCATACGGTACATCTAACTATTATGGCACTAATGGTGTTAATGGCTCCACAATGTCTTTAGTGTTGCTGGGATGTACTTCGGATTGCAAGCTTACTGTCAAAGTACCACTTGATGATAAAGATCACACGATATTGGCTACGTATCAATGCTCACAAAGTGGTTACTTTTACAATCCTACCGTTCAAACACACATCACATACGATGGATCCACTCCCAACCCCGATTATCCCGTGCCTCCTGTCACAACCTACTTAATCGCCATATTTTATAAAATAAATGTAGACACTGGCGGCACAATAGAAATTGCCGATACCTTATCTATAGGAGATGCTATCGATAGTCTTACCGGACAATCTGGGGATAAAGGCATCAGAAGCTTTTTGAATATTGCCACAAAGGACTATACGGAATTTAAATATAATAGCCAAGAGACCAATGTAGCCAATCTGGTCCAGTCGGTCCTGCACTTTTTAGATTATCATTCAGCTACATACGAATCAATTTTATACGCTTATCAAGAGCTCGATAGAATAATGAATTCAGATATGGTTCCAGACCTAACTCCTAAGAAGGAGGTAAATACGAACCTCATCGAAATGTTATTGGCATTCGGGATATCGTTTGTACTAGTGGAAGTCGATCCATTCTTAGCGCCATTTGTGGCTGCTGCAGATGAGGCAATTCTAATTGCCAATGAATTTAAAAAAAGCTGGTCGGATGTTATCAATAATGGTACAAATTCAGTCGACCCGTCCAAAAATACGGTTACCAACCTGAAGGATTTAGGATTTATTGAAAACGATGCGGAAACAAATATGTTGGGGTCTCTGCAATCATTTGTAGAAAGTTGTCTTAATTCTAGCATTGGTGATTCAAATTGGATAAATTGGAATCAATTTTCTGATTATGACGGCACGAAAACCAGTCCTACAAATATGGGAAACGGACTTTTCAAAATTTTAGAAGCACATTACGCAAGCATCATCTTGAACTATTATGATGTTGTAGTATGTTCCCCTGATAGCGCTTCACGAGTCTGTGAGTCTGAATCATATTGTTGCGTCGAAAACGCCATAACTCACAATTGTCAGGTATATTTTAAATGTAATGATCCAGTAGGCGCCCCTACCAATTGTATATTTGAAGGTGGATTTGGAAATGGCCGTGGTGGGATTGATAACGATTACCTAGTGAAACTTGGGAAATATGGAAATCTTAACGATGCATGTCAAGTGGTAAATGGTCAAAATGTAAATGGTTGGAATTTAAGGATGGATAATTGTGCGAACTATCAGAGATGTTTTTAAAATAACAAGTTTATAGATTATATGCTTTAAGTTATTTCAATAATAAGACGATTTCAATAATAAAATTATTTCTAACCTTATAAAAAAGTTCGGACTGAATGAGATGGGAAATTGATTCATTGTTTCGGGTTTGAGGTCAATTAGAATTTGTGCTTTCTAGGAAAAGAAATATCCTTCCAAAAAGTGTTTGAGAAATCCATATTTTTTATATTTGATATTTTTCCGACGTTTTTTTTTTTTAACAAGATATACAATCAATACAATTTACTGTATTTTACAAGTTTTATTATAATTACAAGTTATTTATTAAAACTGCTCAATTATTTATTTTCTTCTAGATGCTAAATTATATAAGGTGTAGAGACTCGGTTACAGTTAAACAAAAACGCGGCATGGATAGCTGCTTATTTGTAATAATATTTTATACTGTATACAACGCATATATACATGTATACTTAGATAATAATAACTAATAATAATAATAATAATTTTTTTTTTTGAAAAAACCAATCAAAGTGTTTCATTTTAAAATCCCGGAGCAAGCAAGCCGAAACCAATATAGTTTCCTGAAGGTGTCGCTTCGAAAACAGAGTAGACATTTTTGAGGAAAGGAGTACCGATAGTACAGCGTCTTTCAGGACGGCCAACAATGTTCGTATAACAAAGTTTGTCATCGTACCTATCTGTTATTATGTCTTTATATGGAATTGTATAACTAACGGCGTCAAAAGTGATGGTGAAGCTTGGTGTCGAATCGCATGGGACCAATAGTCGGTTTCTGGTAGTAACAACTGAGTCAGGGATCAAGTCTGCGATGCCATCAACGTCGGAATTTGGTATCTTCAGAATACTGGCGCCGGTATCGATCAAACAGGGAAGTCGTCTAAAGGCTGGGTAAGTTTGTCTATTTACCATAATACTACGCAATAATATTGTCCATCTATGATCATTAACCCCGACTTTATGAAAATTAATTGGAGGAATAAATCTAGTGCGATCAATATCTCCAATATGTAATCGACCTGCATTACCAGTACCTTCACTTTCACGACCAAGGTAGACGCCAAAACGCGGATCTGGAATCATGCCATTATCGACCATATACATGAACGCTGATTGACCTCCTAAAGGGGTTGGAAAGTAGAAATTGAAACCCATGATGCCATCGAATGGTCTATCTTGAAAGTCAACCGCCTTCGTGGCGAGACCAAAAACTTGTTGTGGGATGAGTGCACCATTCAAACTGAGGTCAGCGGAGCTAATATAACCCTGAACGTGGCCTTTGCCATAACTTATATCGAATGGTTTGTTATTTGTTCTAAAGCTACCGTCTCGTTTTGGATCATATTTTCTCATGTTCCCGCAGCCGGAACAACTTATATCGGAAACCCAGAGATCTGAAGAACCAGTATCTAAAAGAACATTGAAAATTTGTCCTTCGAATGAAATAGGAAAAGTATAACCCCTATCACCATCTACACTTGTAAGTGTGAACTCATAAGCAACTCGCCGCTTATGAGGTAGGGCAGTAATAGTGTATAAACGAGTAACAACTAAAAGGGCGAAAATATAACTTATTTTCATTTTTAACTGACGCACTGGAAGGGCTATATTTGTCAATGAGATCTCACGTTAGGATGAGTAAGACTCAAGTGCAACGAGACAATCATCCTTGTCCTCTTATTTATATCTAGTATTACAAGAACCCTTTTTTCCAGTACTTTATTTCCTCTCTAAATAAAGTTAGAGAAAGGATTTCTTATTTGGTATCCTAAATAGGATGACCGCATACGTATTCAGGATGAAGCTTTTTTATCGATAAATGTTGAGAACTAGTTTTAGATGACTTTAAGGATTCGAGGTTAATGCCTTTTCCTCTCTAAATAAAAGTTAGAGAAAGGCAACCTATCTCTTGTTCTGATAACCTAAATAGGGTGTATTTTTATGACCGCTGTTACCAGTCACCGCAAACTTGGGCTAGCGCCCGCGTGACGGTCTTTAACTTTAGTATAGAAGCAGTGAGAAGGAAAGGTATAGCTTTAGAACATGTTCGAGGTTGTTACTCTACATAGTACATATGGGCATCCTTTTATACATGCCTGCTAATAATGTCTAAGTAGTAAATAAAAGGTTATTCCTGATGTTTACAAGAAAGTATAAGGTCAAATATATGAAAGCTTATAAAATTAACTACTGTACAATAGGCTTCGCGATATTCCAACGACATCACCGCATATCACGTGACACGTGGTATTTTGACGCGTCATCCCATATACGTATTAAGAATACGGCTTTTTTATCAATAAATGTAAAATAGATGCAATCTTGTCCACTCGTCTTACAATGACAATGTAGGCAAGACACTATGCAGCTTAGAAACTAGACTAGTTTCGGATGATTTTAAGGATTTGAGATTAGTGCTTTTTCCTCATTAATCTAAATACATATACTAAGTATGAAATTTTCAAAGCTACATGTATATACTAATGTAACACCCGAAGACCTTAAGTAATATACAATAGAAAAGATATTTATTAACGAAAAATAGCTAAAATTTATTATTTTAGTAAAATATATTTATACTGTACAAAATTTTTATATTTTTTTTAAGTGATGTCAATCTGAAGACAACAATATCTAATTTTTTGTGAATATAGGGTTAATTACCTTAACTAAAATAGTTCTCCGGACGCATAACGGTTTCCGTTTTCCTAGCATGTAGAAATACAAAAGCAGTTTGTGATTTGAGGGTCAATGTGCAAAAGAGTTAGGTTTGAAAATAGATGGATCCTCATCTCAAATCGATAATATTGTTAGGCAAGTATTGGGCAAAAAAATTTGGATTTCCCTTCGCCAATTACTAGAGGTAATTAAAATTGAGGTTCAGCTGAAGATTATTAACTCATTTTCAAATCCAGATATTTCAAAAAATGATGTGATATATTGTATTTGTAAAAAAAAAAAAAAAATTGTTCACAACTATTTCTCATCTGAGAATAGAAATGAGTCCTGGTTGGAATCTGAATCTGATCATGTATTTAGTTTTAATAATAAGCTTGATGGATATGTATCAAAGTAAAGAAGTATAAATAGTTCTTATTATCAGAAATTTCTCTATATATATTTAATATATTAAACAAATCACTATTCACTATTTTGAATTTAGATGTTTCATCACATCTGAAAATATAACTATTATGTGTTTGTCTTCAGATTTCTTATATCAGTTCAAATTCAATAGTCCTATAAGGTACACAAACATAATGCTTTACTGGTAATATATATCTTAAGTTATATCTCAAGGCTTTTCTTATAATATTTAATCTATAAAAGTTACTAGGTTTTAATTCATAAGATTTTAAAAATAAATTGAATTACTTTATACTTGAAATTTCTGAATCTTACAAATTACTATCTGCAATTGCTTTCAAAATTTAAATAAGTAACTCTAGAACATGTATTTTATCTTTTTCTATAAAATAAAATTCTCAAGATTTATCTTTATCTATTTTACAATATTTAAGATATTTTTTTTTTATCGCAAATGGGCATTAAATGTGAGACTTTATTTAAATATTTAACATATTCTGTTACATATTCATTGGTTATATATAAGGTTTCTAACAGTACTATTTTGATATCAAGTCAATATTTGATTTACTATAAGTTTAATATAGTGGGTTACAATTTATACAGTATATTAAATTTATTATAAGTCAATATCAAATCAATACTATTTTAATATTCAGTTTAGAATCTTGGTTATATAAAAAGATATGATTTCAAAAGAATGTATACAAAATATTATAATTATATTAGTAATGATTTCTTTGAAAAAAAAACTTACATATATGAAATCTTCTTTTAAAAACAACTTTAAATTTAAAATAGTCAAGAAAATTAGTTTTTAAATTATATATATTTCTTTTTTCATTTTTTGAAAATAATTAGATTCTTTAGTTAATTAAAGATTTTTTGTTATATCAATTATATTATCAGATATTTCATAATTGTATAATTTTTTTCAAAAAGATAAAATTATAAGAATTTAGTTATATTAATAACATTTTTATTAAAATAAGCAATATAAAATATATTTTCATTAATTTTTCTATACTATTTTTTAAAATATTTTAGATTATATTTTTATAAATTTTTTCTTAAAAATATATCATTTAAATTTTTAAAAAGAAACAAAAGTATATATTTGTTTTTTATTATATTTTATTTGTTTGAAATATTTTTAAATCTAATCTTTAAATTTATAAAAACATTCTTGATTAATTTATCTATATATTTGTTAAGTTTAATAAAAAATTTGAGAAGATAACTTATAAATTTTGATAATTTTTGTTACAGTAAAAAATACAAATAATATATATATATATATTTTATAATAACTGATATACATCTTGTTTATTGAATATTATTATGAGTTCTTTTATATACTTTGTAACAAATGTTGGACTTTATCTATCTCCTAAACTACCTAAGATAGCAAAATAACCTATTACTTGACTTGTTGTCCTCCATGCCTTCTATATTATTAATGCCAGAGCCCTAATAGCATAGATAAAGAACTAACTTGTCAAAATATATATCTCTAAATTCCCATTTGTTATTCAATAAACAGGAACTTAAAAGACTATTCAAACAAAATTAGCTACAAATTAGTTATATTTTATTCACTCTAACTAGATCTATTAAAATTTTTTTTTTTTTTGGGGGGTTTCCCCAGTAGGTAAACATCATTTCTTTATTTTGGTTTGTATATAATAAAGTATACATCGTTGAAAGAAACAACATCTCTCTTATTATTTCAGAAGAGTTAAATGCTAGCT